GGAGGGAGCTAGGGGCGGGAGGTTCAGGGTCCCTGAACCCCCTGACCTTACAGGACCATGGCAGCTGTGGGCTTTGAAGAGTTCTCAGCGCCGCCAGGCTCGGAGTTGGCACTGCCTCCGCTGTTCGGTGGTCACATCTTGGAGAGCGAGCTGGAGACGGAGGTGGAGTTCGTGTCTGGGGGTCTGGGCGGCTCGGGGCTCCGGGAGCGAGATGAAGAAGAGGAGGCCGCCCGCGGCCAGCGGCGGCGCCAGCGGGAACTAAATCGTAGGAAGTACCAGGCGCTAGGGCGGCGCTGCCGGGAGATCGAGCAGGTAGGTGAGTGCGGATTCCCCCGTTTTGGGGCCCCCTGGCCAAAATTACCCATTTCGGGTCTCTGCCTGTCCACGTGCCAGTCTTCTTTATCTAGCTGGGTGACTCTTTAATTCATTTATTCTCCACCTGTTATGTGTCAGGCACCGTAAGGCCTCTGCAGAGCCGTGTGCTCTGTGAGCGGCCCTGACGACCCAGATCGGCTCACTGATGTTTGCAGGTGCCCCTCACGTTCCCCACTAATCAGGGTTTCAGGGCTCCCATACCCCTCACATCAGGCCCTCACGTCCTGACCACTCTGCCGCTTGGGTCTCCCTTGGATCCTTCTGCTCTCCATCCCCATGGCTCCTGCCCCAGACGCGGTTTCTCTCAGCTGCATCACTGCATCGGCTTCCTGGGTGAGGAGGAGGAGCGCGCAGTTGGCAGGGACCAGATCTTGAAAGGCCGGGAACACCAGGGCGTGAAGTTTGGGTTTGGGTTTGTTGTTTAAGTGAGGGGGAGTTGTTGGAAGGTTTCAGACGGGGGAGGGACAGGGTCAGGGCTGGGTGTTTGGAAAACTGAGCTTGGTTGTATTAGTCTCCTAGGCCTGCTGTAAGCGAGGACCACGAACTGGGCGCTAAGTAACAGAAATGCACTGTCACAGCTCTGCAGGCCGCAGGTGCAAGATCAGGCTGTCAGCAGGTGTCAGCAGGGCTGGCTCCTTCTGACAGCCGGGGGAGGGGTGGGGGTGTGGAGAAGAATCTGCGACCTGCGTCTCTCCTTGCATCGGTGGTTGCTGGTATTCATCAGTGTTCCCCGACTGGTGGGTCTCTGCCTTCACCTTCACGTGGGGTTCTCCCTGGGTGTGCCTGTCTGTGCCCCAGTTTCCTCCTTGTATGAGGACACGGGCCCGCTCACTGACCTCATTTCACTTGATTACCCCTGTGAAGACCCTATGTGCAAAGAAGGTCCGTTCTGAGGTACTGGGAGTTAGGACTCCATGCCTTTTTGGGGGACACCATCCAACCCCTAACGGTGGTGGTCTGAGCTGGAGCAGGGGTCAGGAGACAGAGCAGGTGGAGAACAAGGACGGACGTTCAGGCCCTCTTCGGATGAGGAGCGCATCAGGCTGCCTGGAGCAGGACAGACGTTTGCTTTGACATGTCGGAGAGGGCCACATGGGAAGTGGGAGCAGGGGGAGTGCTTGGAGCAGGTGAGCTCCGTGTATTAAAATGTACTCCCCAGCAGCTGCACCCCCCGTGGCCAGCTGCTCCCGGGCAGCCAGTGACAGCTAGAACGTTCGCAGGATGCTGTCTGCCACGTGGTCTTAACGTCCGCGTACGCACACAGGTGTAGGAGACAGTAGGGAGACAAATCAGATGTGATCTACACAAACCAGATGCTCTGCGTTTTGTACTAGGTGGCTGTTAGCTCCACCCCGTCCTACGCTCACCCCGACCTACTTCGCTCCTCAACCACCCCCTCAGCTCTTGTCCCCTGGAGACTCCTCACGTGAATTCCACGATAGCAGTAATATTTCATCCCCGGCATCCTGTGTTCTCAGGGCTTCCCAGTACACGGGTGGTGACATCAGGGTGACCGTGGTCATGTGGGAGCACCATGTGCCAGGCCTGCCCTGGGCTTTACACACAGGATGTGTCAGGACGCCCTGCTGCCTCTCTGCGCCCCCCCCCACTCCCTGAAATGGCAGCAGAGACCCCGAGCCCCGTTTGACACATGGATACCAGGGTCCAAAGGGACTCCATTTGATTTGCTCAAATAGAGCTGGTATTTGAGTTTCCGCTTATTCCACCCCATCAGGAATAGGGGGTGGTGTTATTCCTGTTTTACAAACACAAGCTCAGAGAGGTTCTAGGTGACTCGCCCAAGGTCACACAGCTGAAAGGGGCAGGCTGGGGTTTGAACCCAGGTCTTTCTGACCCGGGGCAGTACCTGCTCATTCGTGACTCGGCCCACACACCTCTCTGCTGGACCTAAAGTAGCCACCGCCTGCCTAATCTCCAACAAGTGGGCCTGCGCGGTGTCCCCCCAGCACTTTGCACGGCAGGAAGTCACACATTCAGCAAATACTGATGGAGCACCGCACCCCCTCGCCAGGTTCTGCTCAAGGCATGGGGACCCAGGCACAACCTGTGTCCTTTGGAGCTGATGGTCTGGTGGGGGAGACAGTGAGCAGGAGAAGTGGGTAGGCTAGAAGGTGGTGAGGAGTGTTATAAGGGAAACTGAGGCAGAGAGGAGTGGCTGGGTGCACGGGGGGCACGTGGGGGGCTTGAGGAGGGAGGGGGTGTTGCAGTGTGGCGGGAGGTCGGGGTGGACTACCTGAGCAGGTAATCTCTGAGGTCACACTTGAGGGCGGGAGCTCTGCAGGCGTGTGGGAAGGCCCCCAGGACGAGAGGAGGCCAGCTGGGTGCAGCGGATGCGAGGGAGAGGAGCAGGAGGGGCCCGAGTAGGGAAGGAGTGGGTGCAGTAGGCCCGGAGGATGTGAGGCACTGTGGTTGGCTCCCTGGGGCCCCGCCGGGGCTCCATTCATCACGCATGGAACAAGTGAGTGGAGTCCAGGTGACTTGTGCTTCCTCCTGCCTCCCTGCAGGTGAACGAGCGGGTCCTGAACAGGCTCCATCAGGTGCAAAGGATAACACGGAGACTTCAGCAGGAGCGGAGGTAACCCCTTGCATGCCCCCCTGGGCCCCGTGCCTCTGCTCCAGCTGCTGTTTCCACCACCTCTCGCGCTTCTTGCCTGCTTCCTGTCCACCCAGGCCTTGTGGGAAGGGCTGAGCAAGGGCGGGGAGGCAGGTGCGCTCCCTTTGAACAGGATGCACAGCAGAACAGAAGCTCAGGATGTAGAGTCCCATGCTTGGTTTCAAGCAGTTTTGCTGTGTGACTCTCAGCAGGCGGCATCCCTCTCTGAGCCCATTTCCCGTCTCACGGAGGTGGCTCAAATCTTGTGGCTGCTGAGGATTGAACAGGAGCTCATGGGAGGAGCCCAGCCCAGAGCCTCCCGCCACGCGCCGTGTCCCCGTGTCTGGAATGCGCTGTGACCCGGCCAGTCCTCAGGCCTGCACTCACCTGACCCACAGGATGCGCCCGCCCTCAGGCACCTCCTTGGTGTCCAGGTCCCTCACTCACCTGCTCTCCCTGCTTCCTGGCCATTCCTCGCCCCAGCACCCCAGGGCTTGGCCCTGGGTCCCCCCACGTCCACACCTCCGCTCTCCAGCTGGTAGCCGCAGGTGGCGACTTAACCCGAGACTTCGTTAAAATTGAAACTTAACGTTGGTCACAATAAATTTTAATTCACTGGAGTGCAATAGAAAATCCTGTTCCTCGGTTGCACTGGCCTCTGTTCACGTGCTCGGCAGCCACCAGTGGTGATTTTTACCCAGACCAACTAAAAGGACGTTGAAACTTGCATTCCTCGGTGGCGCTCACCGCGTGGTAGCTCAGCCCTGACCTCGGCAACTGAGCTCGAAACCAAAACGGCCTCAGAAAGTTCCTCCGTGGCTGTCACCACGTGGCAGGGGCTCCGCGACAGCGACAGGTGGCCAGAACAGGACGTTTCTGTCCTCACAGAGGGTTCTGTGTCCGGAGCGTCACAGCACCGTGGTCCTTTGAATCCTGACTGCAGCTCTTTGAACTCTGTGCCCTTTGTCAGCCGCCTGCCGGACAGTGACTTCTGGTCACGTCACACGCAGGCACAGCTGACCCTGACCTCGCCCCCTGCCCCCGGTCCGCTCCACGTCAGAGAATGAACCCTCCCAGCTGCTGCTCTCTCTCTCACCTCCTCGCCTGATGCACCCTCAGAACAGACCCAGGACCCAGCACCCTGGGCCAAGGCACTCGGCCCCTTGCCCAACACCTGCCACGCTTACCCCGGCCTCCCTGACCCTCCCGAGGCTCCTGCCGCAACACTCTGGGTGAACCTTTTTTCCTGGTTGTACCGTTAGCCAGGATTCTCTCTCTCAGTCAAACCAAGAGAGTTTATGAAAGGGAAGACTGGCCTCTATGGTTAAAACATTGAAAGTTCGGGAAGGGATCTGCACGTGCTAAGCTTCCCCTAACCATACAAATCAGGGTGATTGTTTTTTGAACAGTCTATCTGGAGCTCAGCCCCGTGCATCTCAGAGTGTGGCCCCTGGACCAGGAGTCTTGGTACCACCTGGGAACTTGCCAGAAATTCGGGGGGTGGCCAGGAGGTCTTCTAAAATGTAAGACATGCCACTGTGTAAAAACAGTATGGCACTTCCCCCAAGTTTAAAAACAATTACCATATGATCTAGCAACTCCATTTGTAGGTATATCCCCCGGAAGAGTGGAAAGCAGGGCCACTGACGTGCCCGCCCATGATCATAACAGTATTCATAGCAGCCCAAACGTGGAAGCATCCGAGCATCTATCTGTGGATGGATGAACACAGTGTGGTCCACACGTAGGAGGACCATCCAGCCTTAAAAAGGAAGCTACACCACGAACGGTGAAGACATTGTGCTAAGTAAGCCAGTCACAGAACGACAAGTCCTGTGTGATTCCACTCGTGTGGAGACTTAAGTTCACAGAGACGGAGAGCACAGTGGTGGTTGCTAGGGGCAGGGGAGTGGGGAGTTGTTTAATGGGACCGTTTTACTTGGGAAGATGCAGAGAGTCCTGGAGACAGATGGTGGTGATTTTGCACAGCAGCGTGAATGTGTTTAATGCCACTGAGCTGGACACTTAAAATGGTTAAACTGGCAAGTGGTATGTTATGTGTATCTCATCACAAATTTTTAAAAATTCTTTTTTCAAAAGTAAAAAATAACTAACTAAAAAATAAGACAGACCAAGTCACTTCTCTGCTCCCAACCCCACATGGGGTCCCGCCAGAGTCAGAGCCAGAATTATCCTCCAACGGCCAACAGGGCCCTGTGTCAGAGGGCCCGTCACACTTTGCTCTACCAAGAACACCGCACACATGCTGCTCCCACCTCAGGGCCTTTGCACTGGCTGTCCCTTCTGCCAGAAATGTTTTTCTGCTACTCCTTCACCTTCTCAATGAGACATCCCCCACCATCTTTTGAGGTTCCAGCCCTCTTCCAGTATCATGCGTCCTCCTTCCTACTTTCCAGCTTACTCTGTTTTGTTTGACTTGCTGATTGTCCCCCGAGTTCAGGAGGCTCAGGGGTTTTTGTGCGGTTCCCCGATGTATCGCCAGCACTGAGAACGTGTGGTGCAGAGCAGGTGCACACACTCACCTGGAAAGAGACTGCATGCAAAGCGCCCCGCCCAGGCGCTGGCTGCCAGGCAGCATTCGGAGCTAAAAACCCCCGAGGTTCTGGGCGCCTGGGTGGCTCAGTCGGTTAAGCGACTGCCTTCGGCTCAGGTCATGATCCTGGAGTCCCGGGATCGAGTCCCGCGTCAGG